GCGTACAAATAAAAAGTTTTTGTCAAAAAACAGGAATTTCTGTAAAATAAAAGAAGAAGAAAAAAAATTCTTTGCCAATAACATGCACTGGTTACAGTACAGTTGGACAGCCTACAGGTAGAGAACGCAGAATATCATAGCAGATAGGATAAAGACTTTCTAGCTATCAAGCCACAGTAACTTGGGCACATACCTGAAAGGAAATGTAAGTTCAGATATGTAATAGAAATTTGAAACAATTATGAATTTCGAGAATAGATGTGATGATTCTGGTTTGATGCAAGTAAAAAAGAAAGAAAGAAAAAGACTAAAAAATCTGCGTCCCAAACTAGGAGATCTTTCTGTCTAGATTCAAAATGCAGGAAAAAATGAGGGTTACTGGAATGAGCAAAGTCCATTAATAATAGCAATCATCTGTATCACACAAGTACATTTCCTCAGTGTCTACAATATCTTGTCTTTCTAATCTCGTTATTTGAACTCACACAAATATTATTAAGATTGATCCTCTTTTCTTTTTTTTCTTTTAACCAAATAACGCCACGCAAAAAAATTTGGCGCGCATAGACTGTTACCCTTGTTTGCGCCCAACTTGTTTGGTAGTTTGCGAGCAACTTTAGGTGCCTAAAAGCTTGTATTTTGATGTATAATCTTTGAAAATATTAAATTTTTGAAGGTTTACCTTCACTTTAGGTGATATAGCCTAAAAGTTTTACCATAGAAATAATGCTGCTACTATCAGAGAAAAACAAGCTCCATCCGATGAGCCGACGGCGCGGGAATGGTCGTGAAATGATTCCATCCGCTACTTTGTCCACAACAGCCATGGCATGTGTACATACATGCCACCTAGCAGCATAGGGTTAAATGCAGTAATGATACAAATAACAAAAAAGATAAACAAACTAACATTATGAACTATGGAGTACACATCTGGATTCATCAACTAAAACCTTATGTGTGCAAAGATAAACTTCTCGTTAATGAACCCACCTGCAGATTCCACATTGTCTTGATGGAGCTAGTGCTGTGAACATAACAATCACAGAGTAATTGCGAGGAGTGCTCTTCACATACTGTCGGAACTTCTCACTGTTGAATCTTAATACAGGCTTCTTCAAGCCAGCATCAGAAAGTTGCTGTACTCGCTCGGAGAGGATAAGCTGAAAGCAGGTAAATTCATTACGTGATTTACAAAGAAAAAAAAGAAGCATGTAAGATCTGATTCATTTGATTTCAATTAACTACGTGGATCTACAAAGCAAGAGGAAAACTAAAGCTATTCACACATTATCACATTTAACTATAGGTTTTGTAATAATTAACTGCATCTTTATGTTATTAACCTTCTAAAATAAAGTATAATTTTGGAAATATTTGAGTTACACAGGTGATACTGGTACAACTGGTAGTGCTGAGAGTGTGCCCAAAGTACTGCAATACTACTATTTATCACTTTCAGATGTAGTACTCTTGGTACAAACAATAAATAAAAACAAAATTAAATGAAGAAACAATACAGAAAATCAACAAACTGACACCAATATACCCATTTTTCAAAGTTAGAAAAAAACTATAATATGGCGCAACATACACTTTTTTTTTACAGTGAGTGGATTAGACTCCCACAAAGGTTATATTTTCAGAATGATTTGTTGTCACCTTTGCCAAGCTGACAAAGGTGTGGAGGTCACAGTGATTACTTTATTCAAAGCAGTAGTGAAAATCTAATGTGTTACATGCCTGTTCAGATATGTAGTGCCATACTGCAAATTTTGTCAAGCAGCCACTGTAACTTCTAAACAGATTCTTTTGCATAGATTTGGAAATCAGCAAAATAGTTTAAAAATGATTTAAGCCATTATTCCTTATCTGTTTGTGCAAATAACTTCACAAACTACAAGTTAAGTCCAGTCTGGATGTAGTGTGGTCAGTTCCTCTATTTCAAAGCCTTTCTTTCATCTTTCATACACAATTTCCTTTCCATCCTTCCAACCACATCACACAACAGGGCCTAAAATTATCCCATAACAAAAAAGATAAATACTTGTAGCTTATACTGCTAATGGATGAGAATTAAGACTAATATTTCCATCCCAGATAACAGTAGACTTGGACGGAAGAAAATAATCAATGTAATCATAAAAAGGAGCCCAGCTTTAAATACAAATGTGGGATAGTTACATTTATCATCCAAGTTTTTAGAGTTTCTTACTAGTAGAATACAAAGGTTATATTTCAACAAATGTTTTGATCAATGTAAAATGTTCATCAAAAGTTCATTAGGTACTAGTATGGGTTAGAGTATACGAAAAGAATGCACCATCTAGGGAAATACAATGAATGGTTGGGGGTTCTGGGGTGAAGCCTTTGGGAAAGGAAGGTTTTTTAGTTCATACTATGATCTTTGTGCTAGTTTGTGTGTTTCGGATGGGGTTCATTTGTTTGTCTTAGAGACTTTGTCTCTGACAGGTTCAGTCCTGTTGTAAACTTTTACCCAGGTACGTATCAACTGATATCTATTTTCCGTAAATTGCATACCATCATAACTATCAAAGCCAAAGTTGCCACTTTAAATTCAATAAAATCAGAGGAGATGAGGAATCCTGACAAATGTCCAGAACAGGACGGCATGAGGCAATGCCATGGCTTCTGTGCTTTACAATTCAGCAGGGACACCAAATTTCAACCCATTTATGGCAAGATAGAGCTTACTATTATTTGACAATATTTACCATGGTGGTTGACCATATTTACCATGGTGGAACTACAAATTTTGTGGCACATACAAAAAAAGTGGATTTAGTTGTAAGTGATCCTGAATCAAACAGGCAAACAAACAAACAAAAAAATAGTCTATCTTTGTGCAGTCCTATTCTGGACATGTACTGGAATCTCTTTATATACAAATTCTTTTTGTATTTACAGTTGGACTTATGCCAAAGATACACCAAATATCCTTATTTTCCTGTATATGAATGAATCTATTCTAATTAATTTTGAAATAAGTCTTCACTTAATATATGTAAGAGAATTTACAAAGGTAAATATAACACACAGGTCTCTGACAAGATAATGAAAAACTAAAGTCACATAACACTATTAAGTATAAAAGAAATTTAGAAAAAAACAGCAAAAGCTCTAATCAATTATCAGAGTCCATAAATCTCGATATAGTTTGTTTCATGCAACCATGTGGTGCATCGTAAATTTTGCTTGTAAAAAATAAAGACACTTTTCATATATGTTATCTCCCTCACAAGTTAATAGTAAGATGGTTTTGCAGCATGTAATTCTTTGATATCCATTTACTGGAAAATCTAGACACTATCATAAAGAAAGGGAAAAACTACGTTCACTGACACATGAAATAATGTGCAGGCAAAGAATAATGTCAGAAATAAAGGAAATAGGTCACGACAAATTCTGCACAGATAGTAAGGCCACAGTGATTTGATGGGAATCCAGGGGTGGAAGCTCTTGTACAGATATACAGTGATAGGGTGGGGGTCTGGGGGCAAAGTCCCAAGGTTTGGAAGGTATTTGGTTCATACAGTGATGTTTCTGGATCCACAAGAGTGGCTGGAGTAATAGGGACTTAATCTGTGAGGGGTGCAAGTAACCTTGTAAACATTATTTTCTTTATATCATTTACAATGGAATACAACAAAGGATACACACACCAGAAATGTAGAGTATTTTTCTTGCGCGGGGAATATTTCATTTTTTCATGCGCGCAAAACATAATTTTATCTACATTTGCACAGACGGATTTGCGGACGGATGATGAAACAAATGCGTGGAAAGGTCAAAAGAATTTTATGCGCAAATGATTTTACAAAGAACTAAGCGTGTGTGGAAAGTTACCCGAGAACTACATTTGCACGGACAGAATTTGACCAAACTCTACAATCTGGTACACACATATTACACCATGAGTAATCAAAATAAGGAGTAATATTTGCAAGATTAGATGGCTATGTGAAACTAAAAAAATTACCTATATCTGAGTTTGAGCTATTATATCCAATATTGCTGTCTTCCATGCTTCACTCTAAACAAGACTAGCACACTCCACCAAGTTTATACCGGCAAGATGGAACCTGTCGACCTCCTTATTCAGAACATTTATCTAATGAAGTATCAGTATGACAAGAACATATCATACACTGAATTTCTCTATCAAATACATCAGATCTTATTCTCATCTGTTAAATTCCTATTTAATAAACCTGAAATGCCATCACATCAGCAGCAGCATCTGAAACATTCTAACCCTTAGAAATGTTAAAATAAAACAAAATTCCTAAGTAGTTATTCATCTTTTGACTCCTACAGAAGAATAGTAATTTTTATCTTTGGAAATTACAATGATAAAGCAAGCAACATCAGCTGTTCAGTCACACACCAAACACCGGGGAATTATTAATTATTTTTCCTTTTCACTGTTTCATTCTATTACTTACGATCTAATATGAGCCAGATTGCATGCAACTCACCTCCTTTTTGCATTCTACAAGAGTGAATGCAACTACGAAGGAAAATAACAATAATAATATTCCTTTGACAGAATTCATGTTGTTCTTGTTTACATTGACGATATAAATGGTTAAACTGTCTGCCGTTGATGTTACTCGATCTTTTCCATGGAACTTACGAAAGCGATTCGAGGTAATTTCGTGATGCGTTTTTGTTATTAGTCTGTACCGGCTATTATTTTTATTGCACATCTTTATAAATTCAAACTGATAGTTGTAGTAAAATTTTGATATTTCATATACATCTCTTTTGATATTTTGATTATTTAAAACCGCTTAAGCGCCCTAGGGTACGTAAGTCATATCATCATTACAAGCACATTTAACCCTCATACTCAAAACCTAACGCAAACAAGAAATCCTACAACTTAACCAAATGACGAAAAAAAAATATCTTAAATAAAACTACAAAAAGAAGTAACGCCACAATAATCTAAACACCAGAAAAAAAATCCGATCCCCCCAAAAAGATCCAATCTCGGCGGCGCTCTCTTTCGTTCGTCTATAGGTTATCTCTTCGGCAGGCTGTCGGCTCGTGATTGGCCGGCGGAGAGGACGGAACCACCTGTGGGTTAATAAGGCTCATTTTCACGCCTCTCGTACACGCAAGCACACACTTCCCATTTGATTCGCTGCACGCAAGCACAGAACGTAGTGTTTTAAGACCAGAGGCACTAACATTATGTCCTTTTTTATTCCCATATCGATATTTTTGGTAGCAGTGGTTTGTCTTGTTAAGAGGAATGGTGGGGAGGGGGCGGTTCCCCCTTGGTTTGGTTGTCACAACAGAAGGGGAATGGTATTTTTGGTTATTTATGCAACAATGGCAGTATGGTTGTCAATTGTCAACAACAACCTTAGCTGAAATTAAGTGCCATATTTAACTGAAATTTTCATGGATGTGTTTTTCTTCGTGTATTTTCATGTGTATGTGTACCGATCTTTCTTATTAAAATTAGGAGAGCCTGAATAAGCTCATTGCTACTGGTGTCATATTCGCAGCATCAATTTGTAATAGTTCGCTCCAAAATGTCTGGAGAATCCTCAGATCCTCCAAATTTTAATTGTTAAATATATTTATATTTCACCATCTTACGATGCTTATTGAAAAAATAAATAATATATTTGGCCCCCCACTTCCTTTCAAGGATTATGTTAAATTTGTGTTAAATTTTTATCACGAACCAGTTTCATCATAGAATAGAATTACTAATTCATAACTGTGGGGAAAGGACTCATACGATGTTTTAAAGTATTTTTATTTATTGCTTGAACTGAGGAGCATGTAAATAATTTACCGATAAAAAAAAAAACAATAAACGGAAAGCTACTTTGATTTTATGATTAATAAGATTGGTGTGTATCGCATTATCACATGAGTATATAAATACATTATGATAATTTATACTACATGAAGTTTGAAGCTTTTGTAGGTATTCACATTTTGTAACACTTCACATTATATCTGTAGAAGAAATCTAATCCACTTGGCTTTTTTAATTACTAGTGACGATGATCACGATTATAAGATAATCATAATCAGTAAATTATTACAAAGGCGAGATTGTCTCGAGCTAAAAGTTACAGTACGAGTGAAATTTACATGTATTATGATTATCTTTCGGCAATTACCTATGTCTGTATCAAAATTATTTCTTCGTGTTTTCTCCCTTTTAGAATGTACTTTATAAACAAAACAAGTTAAATAACCGTAGATAGCAACTCAAAATAGCTATTAATTCACCACCTGCACAAGTGTCTGCAAAATCCTGCTTTGTTTATGGGTGGCAGTTCCTTCGATATCGGGTTTGACTTGTTCCTACTATTTTTTTTTTTTTTTTTTTTTTTGTGTCTGTCTGTTTCTTTAGACAGTGATAATTAGGCATCAGTTGTATTTTTGTATCTGTTGTTATTCAATATTCTTGGGATTTTGTTATTTTTTTTCCTTCGTCTTGCGAAGCAGAAAACCAAAGTATATTTTATAGGTATTTTATGGTTCTACTATGTTTGCTGTTCTTGTTATTTATGTGTGTGTGTGTGTGTGTGTGTTTGTGTGTGTGTATCTCTGTGGTGTGTATATATATTTGTATATATGTGTGTGTGGATACATATGTATATATATTATATGTATATGTGTATATATTATATATCTACATATATTATGTATATGTATTATTTATATATATATATATATATATATATATATATATATATATATATATATATATATATATTTGTATATATACATATATATAGTTCGGCAGTTTTATATGTTCCCATGTTAAAATTGAGTTTATTTCTGTTATGTATATGTATTTCGAAAATATATATACATATGTACTGGCGCCTCCTTCCTTATGAGTACTCTGGTAATCCTCCCTCTCCCCCCCCCACCACCCCCCAAAAAATAGATAGATAATAAAAATAAAGGATAAATTACAGGTATCGGCTGACATCCATAAGCCTTTACGGTCTGGTGAAGGATAAAACCTGTTTATCGGTTTTCTTTTGTCATTTTTGTCTTTTTTTCTCTCATTTTTATTTTTTAAGTACCTGTCTTGTTCTTCTTTATTGCCTTCTTCATTGCCTTTTTCACTAATTAGTGTCGTCGTATCATTATTATTATCTTTGGTAGTGTAATCTAGTTTTTATTAGAGTCATTATTATCATTGCCATATTTAACGCCGTACTGTTATTATTCCCCATTATCAATCCTACTATAGTTATTACTGTTTAGTTCTGTAGGAGTTGATTATGTGGCGAAAATCCTAGCTTGTGACCGGATGCCCTTCCGGATGCCATTTCTCCTTATCACTTTTGTGTCTTTATCTTGGCGGAGATGCAGTTTAAAGGTTGGAGATGCGTCTTGACCGGAGGGATATATTTCAAAGGGTTATCATCACCAGTGTGTAAATTATTAAAAAATTGTCACACCATCACGAGATCACATGTGGTCATGATATATTTCAAAAGGGTTATCATCACCAGTGTGTAAGTTATTCAAAAGTAAATAATTAATCACCATCACGGAGGTTCATCGTGGCTGGAGGAATATATTTCAAAGGGTTATATCATCACCAATGTGTAAGTTATTCAAAAAGTTAATTATTAATCACCATCACGGAGGTTTATCGTGGCCGGAGGGATATATTTCAAAGGGTTATCATCACCAATGTGTTAATTATTCAAAAAGTTGCTCAGTAATCACCATCACGAGCGTGTTCGTGATCAGATGATTATTACCTATGTAATTTGTTAAATAATTGTCATTATCAATGACCGGAGGATATATTTCAAAGGGTTATCATCACCAGTGTGTAAATTATTCAAAAAGTTGATTAATCACTACCACGGAGGTTTATCGTGGCCGGAGGAATATATTTCAAAGGGTTATCATCACCAATGTGCAAATTATTCAAAAAAAAATCAATCACCATCACGGAGGTTTATAGTGACTGGAGGAATATATTTCAAAGGGTTATCATCACCAATGTGTTAATTATTCAAAAAAATTAATCATTAATCACCATCATGGAGGTTCATCGTGGCCGGAGGAATATATTTCAAAGGGTTATCATCACCAATGTGTAAATTATTCAAAAAGTTTCTCAGTAATCACCATCACGAGCGTGTTCGTGATCAGATGATTATGACCTATGTCATTTGTTAAATAATTGTCATTATCAATCTTCATTTATCATATTAATATCGCCCACTTGTCATTTATTAAATCTCACCAATTAACTTCCATTCATCTAATGATTATCCTCACTTTTTCTTTTCTTCTCCCATTCCTGTTTTCTTCCTTCTTTTCTTCTCCTCCATTCTCTCGCTTTTTCCCTCCTTCCATTACCTCTGAGTTTACAGAAGCTTATCATCACCAACCTCTTTATTATCATCACAAATCCGTCGGTTAACAAATAATTAACATATCATTATGGTCTTCGACTTATCAGTTGCCATTATCATTACTTAATTGGATGTTATCAGTCATTGCCAGCCGCTTCAGTTGCCGCTTCGTCTCAATGAAAAAAAAATGGAATATACGTAAGATACTACGTAAAATAGTCTATTTATCGTGAAGATAATGTATCAAAGCGTTCCGAGAGAAACAAAAAGTGCGGTGTGTGTGTGCGTGCGTGCGTGTGGTGCGTGTGTGTTTAGACAAACCATATTTTTTTGTTGTGGACTGGAAAAGTTATCCGAAGCATTTTCGCGTTAAGAAGCAACGTGTAGCTTCCAGTCATAAAGGATATGTTATATTTAGTCCAGGAACCGGAAGGGAGCACTGGGGGTGGGATGGGGAGTAGGAAGGTCGGTCTAGGTAGAGGAAGGGGAGAAGGAGGGTAGGGAGGGAGATCTAGATACAGGGAGAGGGGGAGAGGGAGGGTAAGGAAGGCGATCGAGGTACAATGGTGGAGATGAGGGAGGTTTGTTGAGAGGACAAGGGAGGGTGAGGTCCCTCATACCGGGGAGGGGCAAGCAGACGTTGGGGGGGGGGGGGGTGCTGATACCGGAGAGGGGAGGGGGGAGGGACTGGGCTGGGAACCTCGTCGGGCAGCTGGGCTACCGTCGCCAACCTGCCCAGTCGCGCGGTGGCCACAGGAAGAGGAGAACCAAGGTAGGTTTTCTCCTCGGTCCTCGGCGGAAAGGAGCAGGTCACGTGACCGACATTCATTTGTTTCTGTTTGAAGGACCGATCACGCGAATCCGTCGTCGTTTTCCAAGGAATCGGATGCAATTTCACGAACCTCACGCTTCCTGTTACGAAATCGTGTCCGGATTCTAATAGACTTGCACATGTTTGGTATGACTAACTTGCGTTGTATTTTCATGGATGTTTTGTCTTGAAGTGTCTCCCCCGCATACAGTGTAGCTTTTAATTTGAAAGAACAAAGATGGGGGTGTTAACAAGTCTTCAAACAATGTGCACATTTCCTTCACATTCGCACGTGGAAGATTACGTTTGTTATCACTTCCATTAAGTAATAATGATAACCTTTTTCCTCCTCGAGAAGAATATGATAAGGAAAAGACGAGGGAGTTTTAATGTTATACTTGTTTTTCTTTTCTCTGGTATTTTTGGATACAAAAACAATGTGTAAAATCTTATGTTGCTGATGGGAAAACCAGTTTTATCAGGCGTGTTCTTTTTTGTTATTCTTAGAATTGTTGCAGTCACTGATGTGTGCGTGTGTGTGTATTTGTCAAATATTTATTTATGTGTGTGTGTGTATTTGTCAAATATTTATTTATGTGTGTGTGTGTGTATTTGTCAGATGTGTGTGTGTGTGTGTATTTGTCAATATTTATGTGTGTGTGTATTTGTCAATATTTATTTATGTTTGTGTGTGTGTATTGTCAATAATTATTTATGTGTGTGTGTATTTGTCAAATTTATTTATGTGTGTGTGTTATTTATGTGTGTGTGTATTTGTCAAATATTTATTTATGTGTGTGTGTGTGTGTGTGTGTGTATTTGTCAGATATTTATTTGTGTGTGTGTGTATTTGTCAAATATTTATTTATGTGTGTGTGTGTTTGTCAAATATTTATTTATGTGTGTGTTTGTGTTTATTTGTCAAATATTTATTTATGTGTGTGTGTATTTTTCAAATATTTATTTATGTGTGTGTGTGTGTGTATTTGTCAAATATTTATTTATGTGTTTGTGTGTATTTGTCTAATATTTATTTATGTGTGTGTGTATTTGTCAAATATTTATTTATGTGTGTATGTGTGTGTGTGTGTATTTGTCAAATATTTATTTATGTGTGTGAGTGTGTGTTTGTCAAATATATATTTTGTTTTCCTAAGTATCTGTCAGCATATGTTTGTTTGTTCCGTATCTTTCTACCCATCTATTCATCTGTCAACCAACCTATGCATTTGTCTATCTGTGTATCTATGTCAATTAGTCTTTCCATCGATCTTTTTATTCATCTATATATCTATATATCTATAGGTCAGTCTTATATATTCATGTATATCTAAAAGTCGATATATCTAACTACTTATTATCTACTTACCTCCATTTGTGTACTTATCTCTCTATCTATCTATCTATTTATCTATCAGTGTCTGTCCATCCACTCATTTATCTGTCCATCTAACTATCTCTCTATCTGTTTGTCTGTCTCTATTAATATATCTGCTTTTGTTTATCTATCTGTCTGTCTGTCTGCCTGCCTATATATCTATTTATCTGTTTATCTATCGTACCTATCTGCCTGTCAAAATTATCAGTCTGTATGTCTATTTATCAATCTGCATCGATATTTTATCCTGAATAGATAAATAAACATTAAATATACTAAAATGCAAAGACAGTAGTGCTATAATTTCAATACGCCCCCCCTCCCCTCCCCCTAAAAAAATGCAAAAAATATTGATTGATTGATTGATTCTAGATTCATGGACAAGCAACGAGAATTGATGAGGTTTTGCCGCGCAATATCAGTTTACGTAGTCAATTATTACTGAAGGCTGATTTATAGTTTACAGTCTGATAAGCTCAGGAAAGAGATAAGTAAATATTTTAATACTTTAACAATCCTTACTGTTTACTGTTAAAGACACAGGCGCTCATTACACGCGATCATCCACTTAACTCACAACGGTGCACGCGCGCGCACACGAACACACACACACACACACACACACACACACACACACACACACACACACACACACACACCACACACACACACACACACACACACACACACACACACGTGCGCGCGCAAGAGCACACACACACACGAAGAGCACACACACATACACACACACAAGAACACACACAAGCGCACACGAATACACACACACACGCACACACATACACACGCGCACACACGCGCGCAACACAACACACACATTACCTTCAGCCAATCAGTTGTGTAATAAAGATGTACATGGGACTGATCAACTTTGATCAACTTCAGATCGCGTGTCAGTCAGGCAAGTCACTCAGTCAAGCAAGGTAGTGTCGCTCAGACAGAAAATGACACTCGGTCAAATAACCAGTGACACATTGAAGCAGCAGTGACACTCAAACACCCAGTAACACTCAGTCAAACAGCAAGTGACACTCATTAAAGCAGCCAAGAACATTCAGGCAGTAAGTCAGCAATAACCAATGACACTCAGTCAAACAGCCAATGACACAGTCAAACAACAGTGACACTCATTTGGACAGTGTCACACTCAATCAGACATCCAGTGACACAGCCAAACAACAGTGACACTCAGTCAGACAGCCAATGCCACTCAATCAAACATCCAGTGACAGTCAAAGAGCCAGTGACACAGACAATAGTGACACTTAGTCAAACATCCAATGACACTCAGTCAAACATCCAATGACACTCAGTCAAACAGTCAGACAGCAGTGACACTCAATCAACCAATGGCATTCAATCAAATATCAATGACACTCAGTCAGACAGCCAATGACACTGCGTGTGTTGTCAAACAACAGTGACACAGTCAGACAGCCAGTGACAGTCAACCAGCAGTGCCACTCCGCGAAGCAGCAAATGCCAACCCGTAAACAACCCGTGCCTTCGAAGCAGCCCTCTTCTCCCTCAGATGAGCGGCAAGGTCGTGGGGCGCCTGCTGGGTGCTGGTGACGGGCGCCTCTCGGGCCTGGGCGCTGCCATCTGCGAGGGCGTGGCGCCGCTCCTGGGGGACGGCTCCCGCATGGTGGGCGTGGCGCGCACTGCGGGCGGCCTCACCAGCACCGAGGGCCAGGTCAAGAAGGCCAGCGCCAAGGTCGAGGTAAGTTGCATGTGTGTGTGTGTGTGTGTGTGTCTGTCTGTCTGTCTGTCTGCGCGCATTATGTATTTATGGGCGTCTTCTGTACGTGCCATAAAAGTTAATCCAATATTAAAGTTTAATCCAGATCTCTAGTGCGCATGCGCGTCAGCAGCGTCCAGGATCAACTTTTAATGCACCTCTAGACCAGGCTTTAATATTAAGCTCAATTTTTAATCCTGCACATGCGCAGAAGGGACAAGTTAATCCCACCAATCATGTACTCTTACGTCACGTGCCCGTCATGAACTTCATGGGTGCCATCGCTTGAGTTGCCATTCAGAGTTATTTTCGGCAATAACATCGATCGTCTTAGAATTTCCATACATAGTATTTATTATGAAAATGAAATTGTATATACAGTATTTACACAAATGATCGATAAAGGAAATTACTTATGGTAATGAATATAAAAATCAATATAATCCCACGAGGAATCTTTGAAGTTCAGAGGCTGCGGGCATCAATGAATCAATCAAGGGGGGCTAACGCCAACTGGGGGCGCATAGTCGCATCCACCCTTCGCTTCCAGTCACAAGGATCCCTCATGGCAAGACGCCAGGCAGGGACTCGGCCCATATCGAGTTCTTCACGACAGGTTTGGTCAATCTGCCCAAGCCACGACTTCCTAGGTCGTCCCACAGGCCTCCTCCACCCAGGGTTGTCTCTAACAGAGACTACCTGATGGGCAGGGTCATCCTGAGGAAAGCGAGCCAGGTGGCCGTATAGCCTGAGTTGGCGATCCCGGATTGTGCAGATAACAGGTCCTGTGCCAGTCTCACGGTGTAACCGTTGGTTGGACATATGGTCCCGCCAACAGTACCCCATGATCCGGCACAAGGACCTATTACAAAAGGCTTCAAGATGAGCACAGGATAATATCCAGGTTTCACTACCGTACAGCAAAACTGGCATTATCAGGGCCTTGAAAACCCGTAGCTTGGGCCTGCACAGGTACCGACATCTCCAAATACTCTTGTTGAGAGAGTTCATGAGAGTTCCTGGTCTGACAACCCAGAATTATGAACTACACTACCAAGGTATGTAAAGCTCTCTGTGACTTCAATGTCCTCGTCGCCAGCACGTACCGACTGAACAGGTTCTCCTAGCAAGTCTCCAAAGTCCTGGATCTTGGTCTTGGTCCAGGAGACCTCTAGACCCAAGGGCTTCGCTTCATTGCTAAATGCATCCAGAGCCACCACTAAGATTTCCAGAGACTCAGATAGAATAGCAACATCGTCAGCAAAGTCAAGGTCAGTAGCTTTGATATTACCTAGTGTTGCTCCACAATGACTTTGAACAGTAGCTCTGGCCAGTATCCAGTCCATGCAAGTATTGAAAAGAGTTGGTGCAAGGACACAGCCTTGCCTCACTCCTGAACTAACAGGGAAGAAGCTCTACAGGCCCCCACCACACTTTACAGCACTTTCAGTGCCAGTATACAGACGCTATAAGTCCAATAATCCTTGTTGGTATTCCTCTCAGTCTCAGGATCTCCCAGAGTGATTCCCGATGCACCGTGTCGAACGCCTTCTTGAGGTCGATGTAGGCTGCAAGCAACCCACACCCGAACTCACGACGGCGCTCTCGAAGCACAAGGATACGGTCTATTGTAGACTTACCAGGAGTGAATCCAGATTGCTCCAGAACCTTGCCTGGTATACTGAGCAGTGTGATGCCTCGGTGATTGCTACAGTCCCAACGGTCCCCCTTCCCTTTCCAGAGAGGGATGACCACACCCCTCAACAGGTCAGGAGGAACGGTACCGGACCGCCAGATGGCAGCCAGGACAGCATGTAACCCCCGCGCCATAGGTTCACCACCAGCCTTTAACAGTTTAGCTGGTATGCCACAGATTCCTGCTGCTTTACCACTCTTCAGCTTGAAAATTGCCTCTCTAACTTCAGTTAGGGAGGGAGGATCCTTATTGATGGGTGGGCCCGGCAATGGGGTCTCGGCACTCCGTGCATCTAAGTTAACTGCTGGTGGGTCAACCTGGTACAGCTGCTCAAAATACTCAGCCCAACGTCCCTGCACCGCAACAGGATCTTAGACGATCTGACCACTTACTAAGCGAACTGCTGTCACCTGTGAAGAGAGCTTGGAGTTCAGCTTTCTCAGGGCTTGGTATGCAGGACGAAGGTCATTTAATAAGAAATGGCCTCTGCAAGACTCCTATTAAATTGTTCCTTGTCCCTTCTTAACAGAGACCGAGTTCTGCGCACATGAAACCGGCGCAATTCCTGATCCCCTGTCAGACGAGCTGCATGACAAGCATCTGTGGCTTCCAGTGTCTCCTGCGAGATGAAATTCTGTATTGCTCTCGGCGTACACCAATCGTATCTTGAGCTGCATCAAGCGTTTCACGCTTAAAGGTATCCCACAGGAGAACAGGATCCATCAGACTGTCGAGCCTTATGAAATAACCAGAGATTGCCTCAGCTAACCCCCTCCCTCAGCCTGTCCAAATGAAACACCCTAGGGTGATCATTTGACAGCTGGGAAGTTTTGAAGTGGACCCAGAGGGTAGCCACAACCAATCTATGGTCAGTACCATAGAACTCAGCACTCCCGTACACACTGCAATTCTAGAGGATCCTCCAATGAGTGCTAACGAGTATGTGATCGATCTCCTTGGCTGCATTACCCAATCGCTGTACTATGTCCAACGATGTGGGTCCGGGCGCTGGTAGCAGGAGCCAGAAATCCTCAATTTCTGGGACCTAGCAAAGTCCCGGAAAAGGAGGCTATTCTCACTACTGGCATCAGCTCCTGAGCCATGGGGGCCGACAGACATCTCATAGCTAGCTCGATCACAACCAGATACCGCATTGAAGTCACCTAGAACAATGCGAATATCTCGGCGCGGACATCTGTCTGCCTCAGATGCAAGTTTGACATAGAATATCTCTTTCACGTCAAGTTTACAAACATCGGTAGGAGCGTACACAGAAATAAGAGACATGAAGCCAAAAGATAGCTTCAGTCTCAATACCATTATATGCTCATCAACAGGAGTAACCTCTACTACCGAGGGCTGGAGTCTGCTGGAGATGGCAATGGCTACTCCCTGGAGGTGATGATCGTCGCTGCACTGATCATGCCGCTGTCAGGTCTCCTCACCTCTGAGTTCCCGCCTGAGATTCGACCTCGGGCAGTTACTCCGGGTGGATGCCACCTCTGTCACCCCCCGGCGGGGGTGACAGAGGGCCCCATCATCCACCTGTGGGGTTCCCAAGGGCTTTCCCCCTCAAGCTTCACTCTGGGCTGGCGGATGCTAGAGCACAGGCGAGATGAGTAGTTCCCGTTCCCAGCCTGCGGTCCAGCAGTCGCCCCCCCCCCCCCGTAGGGCCCACAGTCCATCTCACTTGCTGGGTGGGAGGGACTTTTCCCCTCCTCCCAGCCTCTCCATTTATGGAATTCACTGCCGGTAGGTTATATCTTGGGGGAGGAGGACTGGCAAGGCTCACCTACCCCGAGCCTCCCATTAACCCCAGTGGGCTTAGGGGCAGGAGTTGGTACAGGGACAGGGCGTGTCCACACGCCGGTGGGCCATGACCCTGGACCTCTGGGGCCTCCTGCTGCTCCGAGATCCCCCACAGTTTATCCTGGGACCGCAAGGTACCCAGTTTCCGTGGGAGGCCGCGAGAAGGCACTGCAGAAGTCTCGATGATGGAGAAGCTGTGAACTGGCAGGGGGAGGCTTATGCAGAGCTGCTCCCTTTTTCGCACGAGGCTAGCCAGTGGTGGCAGCTGTAAGCGGGAAGGCATGCAAGCACTTATTGGAGCGATTGGAGCAAGTCATGCACTCGTACCTGTAAATAAGCAACAAAATCATCCAAAAGGTATCTATTCAACATTCACCCTGCCTGTCCCTACGCATATGATATAGAAGACAGTTTTAAAGATATTACCTAAAGATTTGCAGTCCGATATAAAATTTGCTTGGATAAATATAACTTGCAATTTGCATTTAGACACTGCATTAAAAAAAAAAAAAAAAAAAAATCTGACAACTGATATTCATCTTTATAGATTGGAGAAAAAGTGATTGTTATAGAAAGTTGTAGTCAGTCACTCAAGATGCAGTTTGATCTTCATATGATAATAACAAGGCACAAGTAGGCTTACTTATAAGGGAAACATGATTATTTATGAAATATTCTATTTTCTTTCATGATAACGATCTTATATTTATAGTAGTAAAATGGGTAACGAAACTGCTCTAACAACTATAAAATCAATCTTTATTTCAATGACACTCAAGTACAAAAATGACATTCACCAATTAATATCCATCGCGCAGTTTCCTCGGACAGCTCTTTGCTGCGTTGAATCGTGTTGGAGGAGGGAAACATGTTTCTCAGGATGCTGTCAGAGGGAGTTCCATAGAAAAGTATACTTGTTAATTTTGTAGTAGAGTAATTGAGAATACTCAGTACATAATTCTTCTTTAAAACACTGGTTCATATTTGATTTAAAACGTCAACTTGTGTGACCTTGATGACCATATACATTTTGTTTCACTAACCTGGAAATATGAGTTCCATGCCCGCAGCCTCTGAACTTCAAAGATTCCTCGTGGGATTATATTGGTTTTTATATTCATTACCATATGTTATTTCCTTTATCAGAATATTTGAGCATTTGTGTAAATATATATAATTTCATTTTCAAAATAAATACTAAGTATGAACTTTCTAAGACGATCGATGTTATTGCCGAAAATAACTCTGAATGGCGATGGCATCCGTGAAGTTCATGACGGGCACGTGACGTAACAATACATGATTGGTGGGATTATTGTCGGCATGTGCAGGATTAAAAAATGAGCTTAATATTAAAGACTGGTCTAGAAGTGCATTAAAAGTTGATTGTATTAAAAGTTGTGATATGGATTAAACTTTAATACTGGATTAACTTTTATGGCACGTACAGAAGACGCCCATAAACTTGAAGGAGTGTGTACAGAAAATAGAGGTACGAACTTTCTTACTTTGATATGATGCTAGTCTTAGTTTTCAATTTTGGGAACATTGGGAGGCATAAAGAATTGATTAATAATATGAATAACTTTTTAATGCCTTGTCTTCAATCATGTAGGTACGTCTGGGATGAAGGGAAGGAAAAGTGGTCTTCAGTAGCATCTGG